AGGCCCCGCCCAAGGCCCTGGAGACCCCCCAGCCGCACCCTGGCTGGCAAGGTAGGAGTGGGTGGGTGGTGGGTGTTGGGCTGGCCCTGTGCCTGCAGTGGTGGGGCCACCATCCTCACACCAGCCCCTCTGGTCACCCACAGGGACCCTGAAGGCCAAGGACTTCAAGCAGCCATGCCTGCAAGTCACTCTCACACAGTTAAATACCAGGGGCTCCGAGGACTGCCTCTACCTCAACATCTGGGTCCCCCAGGGCCAGAAGGAAGGTACATCCCCCCACCCCGTGCCCTCCAGGTCCCTGAACCTGTAGAAAGAGGCCCAGCCCTGCCCAACCACTTGGCTGTGTGTGGGCTCCAGAGCTGAAATTCCCTGAAACAAGCACCCAGAGGGGAAGGGGAGGGACATTTGGGGTTATCCGGTCTGCTTCCTGCCTCAGTTTCCCAGAACCTGCCTGTCATGATCTGGATCTACGGAGGAGGCTTTGTCATTGGTTCCGGCCAAGGGTTAAACTTCCTCAGTGACTACATGTACGAAGGGGAGGAGATCGCCACGCGGGGCAACGTCATTGTGGTCACCTTCAACTACCGCCTTGGGCCACTGGGCTTCCTCAGCACTGGGGACGCCAACCTGCCAGGTGTGCTGGGCGCCTTGGGCAAGGGGTGAGGGAGCTGGCAGGGGCCCTTCACCACCACTTTCTCCCTACAACTCCTGACAACCTCCCAGAAAGAGCCAGAATTCTACTGGCAGAGCAAGAAACTAGGGATGGACAGTGAGACACAGGAGCCCATTGGCAGCTATAGTGAGAGAAGAGGCTGCCAGCCCAGCAGGGACCCGGAGACACGAGGAAGCAGGCACAGAGACCCAGGGAGACCTGGGAGTGCGGACAGGGACGCAGGGAGAAACAGAAGATGAGACACTGATGTGGTGACTCAGGGGACACAGAGTCGTAGGACAGACAGACAATAAGAGGGACCGTGTCAGGGAGAGAGATGAGCAGCCTGGCCCTCCTGCTTCTGGTCCCCTACCTGAGCCCCACACCCCCTCCAGCACCTCATTCAACAGCCTCCTGGGACCCGCCCTGCGTCATGCTGAGGCTTGACAGGGGCCTCCACATGGAGGACGCTCTCCCCCCACCCCAGTCCCTGATGGGCTCTCCCACCCGCCCCAGGTAACTACGGCCTTCGGGACCAGCACATGGCCATCGTGTGGGTGAAGAGGAACCTTCGTCTCTCTGCAGGTCGGGGGACCCTAGGAAGGCGGGCCTTCCTCCCAGGTGTTGAGGGGAGCTATCGGAGATGATAGGGACCTGGGAAGCTGAAGTGGGCTGGGGAAGCTGATGGGGGCTGGGGGGAACAGCATGAAGCTGACTATCTGGCTATCTATGGTGGATCCGGGATGGGCAACAGAGACGAGGCCATGGTGACAGGACCTCTGTGTGTCGCAGACCCTCTCTCCCTACAGCACGGGCCTCATCCGGCGAGCCATCAGCCAGAGCGGCGTAGCGCTGGTCCCCTGGGCCATCCAGAAGAACCCTCTATCTTGGGCTAAGGGGGTAAAGCGGAGCTGCAGTGGGGGAGGGGGGAGGGTTACCTCCTGTCCATGCCCTATCCCCGTACCCATCCCCCTCTTCCCTGCAGTGGCCTCACCTACCTGTCTCCCCCGTCCTCCCAGATCGCCAAGAAGGTGGGCTGTCCTTTGGACGATACCGCCAGGATGGCCAAGTGTCTGAAGGTCATCGACCCCCGGGCACTGACGCTGGCCTATAAGATACCCCTGTTGGGCCAGAAGTGTGAGTGGGGGCTCCACATGGGGGGATGGCCATGCTCCCCAAGAAGTGAGGATTGAGGGGCTGCTGTCTGGCCTGTCACCCACTCACTGGCGTCCCTGGAAGCCCGGTGCCGCCGGGGCCCTTGTTGCCTCCGTGGCCTCGAATGGCTATGCCAAGGGTGCCATCCCTACTACTGAGCCTCCCTGGGTCCTGACCCCCTTGGGAAGCTGGTGCACCTTTTCCCCTCACAACGGACAGAAACAGTCATTTGCACCCAATTTTAGGGGCCTCAGACCCAGTGGCTGTCAGTGGGATGGTTTGGCCCCAGGGAGCCTGTGGCGGTCTGCACAGTCTGGGTTGCCACACTGGGGGGTGCTGACCTCTAGCGGACGGGGCCAGGGAAGCTGCTACACACCCGCAGGGCACCCCAGGATATAGAATTATTCAGGCCCCCAGGTCAGGGGACAGGCTGAGGACCCTGGTCTGGATCAGAGGTGACAGGGCTGCCCCCGGCCTAGGGCCTGGCCTGGGGGCACTGGAAGGTGTGAGGACCCCTGCTCTCCATGCAGACCCCTTGCTACACTATTTGGGCCTCCTCCCCGTCGTGGACGGAGACTTCATCCCAGACGACCCCATCAACCTTTTCGCCAATGCGGCCGACATCGACTACATCGCTGGCACCAACGACATGGACGGCTACACCTTTGCCAGCGTTGACGTGCCAGCCATCAATGTGGACTTGCTGACTGTCACGGGGTAAGTAGGACACAGAGCCCAGGGCAGTGCCTGGGGACCTCTTTGGGAGGCATCAGCTAAGGGAGGAGGCCAGCAGGTGGAGGGGGCCATCTGCAGGCCCCTGGCGGGAGACGGTGGGTTGCCTCCCACGGGCCGGGGAAAAGGGTCCAGTGCTGGCTTGGTCCCTGCAGGGAGGACTTCTTCAAGCTGGTCAGCCAGGTCACCATCGCCAAGGGGCCCCGAGGTGCCAATGCCACCTTTGACTTCTACACGGCGCCCTGGGCCCAGGACTCCTCCCAGGAGGCCAAGAAGAAGACGGTGGTGGACTTTGAGACCGACGTCTACTTCCTGATGCCCACGAAGATGGCCGTGGCCCAGCACAGAGCCAACGCCAAGTGAGGGCCTGGGTAGCGGAGGCCCACCTGGGTCATGCACCTGCCCAGTGAGGCCTCTCAGTGGGTAGCTAGGGGTTCAGGGAGGCCCGGGAAAGCCATGATGGTGTCCCCACAGTGCCTGCACCATCTGCCTTGCCCAGGCCTGACGAGACTGAGAAGGCCCCTCCTCACCTCTCAGCTCAGGGGCCTTTACAAAACCCTCCTCATGTTACTGGGAAACCTCTAGTTGGGCTCGGGCTGCCTGTCCCTGTGTCCAATAACAAAGGCTGGTTGGATCATATGAGGCGTTTATTGAGAAGGCCAGCCCACCAAGAAGACGGGGTGCTTACAAGCATTCACATCCTGTCTTCTGGTAAGGTGCAGGGGACAGGACTAAAAAGGGGATGGGCTGGGGTGCTATGTGCAGCCCTGGGGGTCCCCAGACCTCAGCTATTGTAGTCATCACATGATGAGATGATGGGGATGAGATGATGGGGATGAGATGATGGGGATGAGATGATATTTTGACTCCTGGTTGGTCAGTGTGTCCCTGATTATCGGTTCTGCTGCTGGATTCACAGCTGGGTCACCTCCTGCATTGCTTTGCACAGGCCTTCAAAGGAAACTTAAGAAAACCTTAACCCCCTCTTCACATAAGTATGTGTGTTCTAAGATTGAAAATAATAGGGTTACCTTTCAGATTAATTCAGGTGCTCTATCTATCAGGTTATCAGTCCCCCATTCCCTCAGCCCACAGGCCTCCCTGCAGTGTCTGCAGCCTCCCCGCAGCCCCCAGGCCGAGGGGGACAGAACACGGGATGATGGTCTCTGTTGTGGGTTTGGAGTTTGCCAATATTCAAAACAACTGTGGCCTGCTGGTAAACCTCCAGTGAAAATAAAAAGTACATTAGGGATGCCAACACGGAAGGGAGAGAAAGCGGTGCCTAGGAAGTGTAGGATGAAAGCTTTTAGCAACTACATGAACTTGTGTTGTTCATTGGGTGGGTCAGGTATGTGCCCGACGAAGAACATAAACTCATCTGCAGAGAAAAGGAAGGAAGATGCCTCCATAGGCTTTGGGGAGGGAAGTGTGGACACACATGAAATCCCAGAACCACAAACCCCACGGCCTTCCCTTCCCCGGTGCAGGGACCCAGGTCCCTCCTGGGTCTGGGGATTTCCAGGTTCCTCCCTGCTCTCCCCGGGGCCTCCCTCCAGGGCCCAGCTCTGGTCTGGGGGGCCCAGGTGTGCTCCCTGCCAACCTGGGCCATGTCCCTCCCTCCTCAGGAGTGCCCGGACCTACACCTACCTGTTCTCCCACCCCTCTCGCATTCCGTTGTACCCAAGCTGGGTGGGCGCCGACCACGGTGACGACATCCAGTACGTGTTTGGGAAGCCCTTCGACAACCCCCTGGGCTACCGGGCCCAAGACAGGACTGTCTCCAAGGCCATGATCGCCTACTGGACCAACTTTGCCAGAACTGGGTAAGGCGGGTGAGGCTGGGCCAGGCCTCCTGCCACCTGGGCCCACATGCCTGTCCCCTCACGTACCCTTAACCTCGCTGAGCCCCATCCCCCCTGTGTGTGAGGGTAGAG